AAAACTACATTCAGTTAATTTAGCGGTGTTAGCTTTCCTTAGCCGCCCAGTACACTATTTTAAGTCTTAAATAGTTTTGTAACACTAAACGACTGAAAGATTATACATTATTAGTACAGTATCGAGTATGAGTTATCATTGGTAGACCGCGGTTCTTGATTTCCGATCCCACACTTAAGTCCGTGGGACTTTCGATTCCACCCAGTTGTGATTTTTTTCTAAGCTAGCGAGAGTAAAGACAGCTAGGCAAAGAGCTGATGGCTATATACCATTTTTTACTGAGTTCTCACAGACAGATGAACTCTACTTCACCTGTTTTATTGGCAACAAGATCCGACAAGGCAATTTTATTAGCACAATTTTTCGTGTTTGAAAACTATCTTTAAGGGGGTAGGCTCCAGAAAAAACCATTTTCTTAATTAAAACCTTTTATTGATTCATTTGTGTATATCTAAGTTAGGGTACTTGAAGGAAAATATTTCCATGCATCAGGGAATATTTTGAAAAAATGGTTGCCATGGCAACGGCGGCCATCTTGAAAAAAACATCCTTTTCTGGAGTTCTAAAATTTCATAAACTAACATAAATATCGGCTATAGAACCATTGATCCTTCTTGTACTAACGCTAATAGAGTCAGCTGGCTAGTTTTTGTAACAGAAATCACTCTAGAAATATTTTTTTTTAATTTTCAAAATTTGGTGTGACGAAATTCCAATGAAAATAATGCTAAATTCAATGGAATTTCACCACATATTTTTTTGAAAATTTGAAAAAAAATATGTCTAGCTGTGTTTCGGTTACAAAAATTAGCCAGCTCACTCTATTGATGTTAGTACAATAAAGATCAATGATTATATGTGCGGTTTATATGTTACTTTAGGAAATTTTAGAACTCCACAAAAGGTAGTTTTTTCCAAGATGGCCGCCGTTTCCATGGCAACCATATTTTCAGAAGAGTCCCTGGTACATCCAAATATTTTTCCTTAAGTACCCTAACTTATACATACACAAATAAATGAAAAAGGCTTTTTAACTAAAAAGTTTTTTTCCCTGTTTTTTTCGGGAGCCTATCCCCTTAAAGCATTTATTACACTGTTAATAAGTAAACGACAATATCGCAGTTCGAGCTTAGCAATATGTTAAAATACTTACAAATCAGGGAAACATAAACTGGAATATAAAATTAATTAAATGGATATGCAGTTAATTACCAAGTGCAAGAATTTACTTGCTCTTACTGAAGCCGGTTACCCAATAGAGCTGGAAAAAGCGACAGACTCGTGCTACTGAAATAAAATAAAATCTTTGGATTCAGGTGCCCGACCTTATTGTTCGCTAAAAGCACTATCTCTTTAAATGTATATGTAACAGAAACAGATGGACTCTACTTTACCTGTGCCGAAAAACATTTGGTCAAGGTACTTTATAACTTTATCTGTCCAATGTAACATTTGGTACTTAACATCTAGTAATCAGTATATCCTCCTGGGATTTTAACAAGGCAAGCATATAAACGTTAGGTATCAAAAAAAGATAAAAAATATAGTACAAAATGAGTATTTATGATTAACACATGAAACAAAGTGGAACACAGGTTTAATTTGGATCTGGATGAGCTATGATTAGATCATCAGATTTTCCCGTTAGTGCCAAGGACACATGGGACAGATGAAGTAGAGTTCATCTTTTTCAGTAACCTCGACATATGAAGGGATAATATGGTCAGCACTACGATCAGGTGCCATTTTTCCCTAACGTTAGTCAGGCACCCATCAAAGGAGGGAGGGCTCAGGGACGTTCTAGTGACTAGAAACCAGATTCGAACTCGACACTTTCCTGCTAGCTGTGTAGCTTTTTGTGTAGATAATGAGTAACATATTCTTAACTTATTTTTGTTTACATTTTGCAGCTTAAAATCAAATGTCAGTTTAAATAATTACTACATTAATTATTGCAGGATCCTGGAAGGGCCAATACTTATGCTGTCGAAATTGCAATCAGCATTTTTACTATATTTTTTTTCTTTTTCCCATTGGGCATTGCCGCTTTGTGTTATGCAGTAAAAGTAAGTTTTCGTTTATATTGAAAACCTTTTTAAACTCAGGGTGAATTCTTGAATAGAAATGTTTATAATTTAATTGTCACAACGGCTAAAATTAGAATGAAAAAACATTTTTACGCGTGTGTACGTGTACCTAAACGTGTACTGGTACGTGTACTTTCAATCGTACGTTTAGGTCTTTCATGTTTGTATTTGAAGTATGCTTTTACGTATGCCTTTTGAGTATGCGTTTGTGTATGATATGCGTATAGTTACGGATATTTGTGTACTTGTGGGTATGCCTATGAGTACGTCACTTTTTCCGTGTGTATGTAAATACAACTTTGAAAAGCCACCATTTCTTTTTTACAGGCACGTGAGTTAATCAGAAATGGACGTTTTGATGAGGCGAAGCGTCGTGGACAAAAGGCTGCGATATTGATCATCACTGCTTTAGTTCTAGGCATAATTACTTATGCCTTGTCATTAGCAATTTATTTTTTCCCTCCAGATAGTTAGCTCTTTTGTTGTTACATTAAATGAATGTATACTTAAATATACTTTGTATACTTAAATATACTTTGGACAACAGTAAAAGTTTTTTTTACACCAATTTCTGAATAAATGTGGTTCTTTGAGAGTATTCACAGTCAGAGTCGTAGCGAGGGGGGGGGGGGGGTGCGGACCACACCGGGTGACACCATTTAGGGGGTGACACCAAGGTAAAATATAGCAAAATATATAGAGAAAAACTTGAGGGGTGGGGGTGCAAATCGAAAGTTTGAGGGGATGGGTGCAAATCGTAAACTTGAGGGGGGTGGACATATATATATATATATATATATATATATATATATATATATATATATATATATATATATATATATATATATATATATGTGTGTGTGTGTATGTGTGTGTGCGGTGTGTTCAGGAGTGATTTGATTAAATAGTCAAACTGTAACAGGGGCTACGCAATTACACAATGCAACTGTACTCTTTTATTCTCTTTACACTCTATTCTACTACATTTTACCATTATTCTACGGTAGTCTCTTCACATTGTTGCAGTCTACTCCATATTGGTAACTACTGCTTGCTTTGTGTGATATGTTTTTTTTTTGTATTTTTGTAATATATATAAATAAATGTATATAAATAAAGAAATAAATAAGTAATCGAACGAACGAACAAGCGAAGAACGAACGAATGAACGAACAAACAAACAAACGAACTAACGAACGAACGAACGAACGAAGAAGCGGTCGAACGGACGGACATACGGACGAACGGTATTCGGTCGCACGATCTATCAAGGTCTAGATCTAATTGTTTTTTTAAACTTACGTTTCAACTGTTTGAAATATTTAATGATAAACTTGAAATACCGTGGATTGTTTTAGAAAATTGCCGCGGTCTATGCCCCCCCCCCCCCCCCCCCCGGCCCTTCGCGCTTGTAAAATTTACCGTTTGTTTTAGTCGGGCATACAGTCTCCGATACATTGATCCACCTATTGAGCTGTTGTTTTTAAGAAGAAAACAGCCGATTTCAGTGATATTGCATATCTATAATATAGCGGCTAGTTAGTGTGTCAGTCCGTCATCGCTATAGATTTTGGAACCATAAAAGTAAACATCGCACCATGTAGTGCTTTGCAGTGCATCGCATTGTCTCATTATAAGTAACGAGCCGGCCCGCGGCATAACATACGCCGCTATTTAGTTGTTTTTTCTACTTTTCAGTAATTCATAATTTGTGAATTCGATGGTATCAACGCTGCCACTGAAAATGTTGGGGGGGGGGGGGGGGGGGGTGTGTGGAAATCTAAAGTTTGAGGGGGGGGGGAATTTTAAAACAAAAGTGGTGCAAATTGAAAGTCTGAGGGGAGGTACAAATCGAAAGTTTAAGGGGGTAGGGTGGAAATTGAAATTTTGAGGGGAGGGGTGCAAATCGTAAGTTTGAGGGGGGGGGGTCAAATCGAAATTTTGTCCCCGGGCGACGGAAAGGGTCGCTACGCCTCTGTTTTATAGTCATTCACTATGTCAAACGCGTCCGCCGGCGCTCGGAAAGGGTGCGATTTGGCGCTACGGGATAGACTGTGAGCAATATGCCTTTATGATTGCTTTTAAATTTATGTTATGAGTGTTGTGTTTGTTTTTTCTTTTGTGTTTTTTTTTTGCGTTCGTTTGTGTTGTGTTTAGTTTTTTTCTGTTCCCAAGTTGGTACATTTAAAAAAGATTTACCGTGGCGGAGCACGAGATGCAACTAGTGTACATATATATGTATGTATATACATATATACAAATAAATAAATAAATATATATATATATATATATATATATTTATATATATATATATATATATATATATATATATATATATATATATTTATACATTTATATATATATATTCTTCAACCACTCTCAGTCCCCCCACAACGGGAATAAGGCTGAAAGAAACCCTGGGTAGTCATTTGCAATTTAATAGTAAAAAAAAAGATTTACAAAAAAAAATGGATTTTAAAGCAGTTGACGTCCTTAAAACAATTCTTAAAATTTGAAAACTTAACACTATCCTCTGCAATATGTTTTCATCCAGCCTTCAATTCTCGTTTGCTCAGTACAAATGTAAACACATTCATCAAATACAGTCGGCCTACAGTCTGGTAAGATCGATAAGCGTGAGTGAGTTCTCCTAAACTTTCTTGCTTATTCGTATATAGCAGAAAGGGTTTGGATGGCCCCTCGAGATAAATCGGGATATAGAAATATAGAAGTTTAAACGAACAGGTATCTTTCATCAAACCCCCACCCGTAAACCACGCCACCCCACCTTCACCTTACACGTTGTCCAAGCGTTTTCAACAATTTCAGTCAAGGCACATAGATCAGGAAGGGAGGGGTTTTGTTTACCTGTTACTATTTTTAACTGTGTCATTCTTGTCTCAGTGATCTAGGGTTACCTGTCGCATCTGCGATTTCTGCAGTGTGGGTTGTATGCCGTGTTGGATTTGGGATGTGTTTACATAATAAAACAAAGTAGAGTGAATCGGAGAGTTTGTTCCAAATATAATTTTATTCTAACACGGCAGAAATATATGTGTGTTAAACTGTTAAAATACACACTACTGTTGCCAAAAAAATGACTGATGTAAGTATATTTGTTAACGGATAGTGAGTAAATTATTCTACTAATTAATTACTAGTTGACTGAGATAAGTAGTTTTCTAGTAGAATGATGTAAGTATTCTTCTAGGTGACTGATACTAGTAGTCTACTTACTGGCCTATATAGTTAGTTTACTAAATGTCTAACGTAGCAAGTCACCTAGCTGACTGATATAGATAGCCTATTAGTTGACTCATATAACTGGGACTATTATTTGACTGACCTTATTGAAAGCACTCTTCTAGTTGCCAAATATAAGCAGTTTTGTATTTGGAAAACTTTTCCTAATCTTGGACTGCGATAAACTAATGTAGACAGTAGATATTTTTTCTAGAACCAGGAGCAGCACCCAGACCTAAAATTGACTTCACATTTCCTTGCTACGAACATGACGCCCACAACTGATTTCAAATCGCCACACGAAGAAGTAGTTACCATCAATGAGCCTGTTCGATCTGGTAGAAAAAACCCTACAAAGATTACCAAACTCTGCTTCGTCTTTATAGTTGCTTCTGGAATCATCAAGTAAGTTGCCGCAGTTTTTATAACTTTTTAGGGAAAATGATTGGTTAAAACGTCATACTCGCGCACACCACACACTCAAAACCTCACACTTATACACAGATGTCTATTGTATTCTTAATGACAACTGCAAATTGCTTTCTTAAAACAACACTAATCCAATGTAATTAAAAGATACTGAACCTCACGAGTAAGAGTATTTTACGATTTTTTGCTATCATTGTTGGGACGCGTGGTCGCGTGGTAAAAGGCCCCCACATTTAATCCAAATGTCTCGAGTTCCTAGACGCTTATCTGTAGATTGTCTCTGAGTGCACTCAGCTCTAATTGGTTCTGATTCATATTAAGATAAACAAAGGCATCCGGACATAGTGTTCACTACACAATAACTTTATATCCCGGGGTAAAAATTTAAGTTATGAGAATTGTCTTTTATCTTCGAAACAGAACCTTTGTATTATTTAACGTGCATCTATGAGGTTTCCCTTTATTTGTAACCACTAATAATAAATTATTTATCACTTTGGTACAGCTGTCACTTATTCGCCATTCTCTATAACTGTTACTATAAACTACTCAAGCCTGCCTTTGGAGAAAGTAAGTACGTCAAATGTCTGTATACTAGGTTACTAGCAGTCAGAAAATCTAAATTTAGCACTTATGTCTTGATGGGAAGGAAAGCCTTATTACAAATTTCAGTAGTTAATAAATAAAATATTGAAGGTTTTTTAATGGATCAGTAAATTAGTTCTGTACGGGTCAATACGTAATGTCTTTAGTTAGTTCATCATATCTTTAGGGTTCAGTACATCACCCCTTTATGGGTTAGAAAAACATCATGTCTGTAAGGTTCATAGCATGATATCTATATGGGTGAGTAGGTCATGTTTTTAAGTGTCAGTACATCTTTTCTTTAGTCACCACATCATATCATGTCTTTGGGGTCAGTACATCACGACTTAATGGGTCAGTTCATGTTGTCTCTATGGAGCTGTACGTCATGTCTTTAAGTGTCAGTATAGCATGTCTGTAATGTTCAGTACATCATGTCTTTAGCTGTCATCATGTCTGTAATGTTCAGTACATCATGCCTTTAGCGGACATCATGTATGTAATGTTCAGTACATCATGCCTTTAGCGGTCATCCTGTCTGTAATGTTCAGTACAGCATGCCTTTAGCGGTCATCATGTCTGTAATGTTCAGTACTCCATGCCTTTAGCGGTCATCATGTCTGTAATGTTTAGTACATCATGCCTTTAGCGGTCATCATGTCTGTAATGTTCAGTACATCATGCCTTTAGCGGTCATCCTGTCTGTAATGTTCAGTACATCATGCCTTTAGCGGTCATCATGTCTGTAATGTTCAGTACTCCACGCCTTTAGCGGTCATCATGTCTGTAATGTTCAGTACTCCATGCCTTTAGCGGTCATCATGTCTGTAATGTTCAGTACATCATGTCTTTCGCGGTCATCATGTCTGTAATGTTCAGTACAGCATGCCTTTAGCGGTCATCATGTATGTAATGTTCAGTACATCATGCCGTTAGCGGTCATCATGTCTGTAATGTTCAGTACATCATGCCTTTAGCGGTCATCATGTCTGTAATGTTCAGTACATCATGTCTGTAATGTTAAGTACATCATACCTTTAGCGGTCATCATGTCTGTAATTTTCAGCACATCATGCCGTTAGCGGTCATCATGTCTGTAATTTTCAGTACATCATGCCTTTAGCGGTCATCATGTCTGTAATGTTCAGTACAGCATGCATTTAGCGTCATCATGTCTGTAATGTTCAGTACTCCATGCCTTTAGCGGTCATCATGTCTGTAATGTTCAGTACATCATGCCTTTAGCGGTCATCATGTCTGTAATGTTCAGTACATCATGCCTTTAGCGGTCATCCTGTCTGTAATGTTCAGTACATCATGCCTTTAGCGGTCATCATGTCTGTAATGTTCAGTACTCCACGCCTTTAGCGGTCATCATGTCTGTAATGTTCAGTACTCCATGCCTTTAATGGTCATCATGTCTGTAATGTTCAGTACATCATGCCTTTAGCGGTCATGTCTGTAATGTTCAGTACATCATGCCTTTAGCGGTCATCATGTCTGTAATGTTCAGTACTCCATGCCTTTAGCGGTCATCATGTCTGTAATGTTCAGTACATCATGCCTGTAGCGGTCATCATGTCTGTAATGTTCAGTACATCATGTCTTTCGCGGTCATCATGTCTGTAATGTTCAGTACAGCATGCCTTTAGCGGTCATCATGTATGTAATGTTCAGTACATCATGCCGTTAGCGGTCATCATGTCTGTAATGTTCAGTACATCATGCCTTTAGCGGTCATCATGTCTGTAATGTTCAGTACATCATGTCTGTAATGTTCAGTACATCATACCTTTAGCGGTCATCATGTCTGTAATTTTCAGCACATCATGCCTTTAGCGGTCATCATGTCTGTAATTTTCAGTACATCATGCCTTTAGCGGTCATCATGTCTGTAATGTTTAGTAGCCTACATCATGCCTTTAGCGGTCATCATGTCTGTAATGTTCAGTACATCATGTCTTTAGCGGTCATCATGTCTGTAATGTTCAGTACATCATGCCTTTACGGTCATCATGTCTGTAATGTTCAGTACATCATGCCCTTAGTGGTCATCATGTCTGTAATGTTCAGTACATCATGCCTTTAGCGGTCATCATGTTTGTAATGTTCAGTACATCATGCCTTTAGCGGTCATCATGTCTGTAATGTTCAGTACATCATGCCTTTAGAGGTCATCATGTCTGTAATGTTCAGTAAATCATGTCTGTAATGTTCAGTACGTCATGCCTTTAGCGGTCATCATGTCTGTAATGTTCAGTACATCATGCCTTTAGCGGTCATCATGTCTGTAATAATCAGTACATCATGCCTTTAGCGGTCATCATGTCTGTAATGTTCAGTACATCATGCCTTTAGCGGTCATCATGTCTGTAATGTTCAGTACATCATATCTTTAGCGGTCATCATGTCTGTAATGTTCAGTACAGCATGCCTTTAGCGGTCATCATGTCTGTAATGTTCAGTTCATCATGCCTCTAACGGTCATCATGTCTGTAATGTTTAGTACATCATGCCTTTAGCGGTCATCATGTCTGTAATGTTCAGTACATCATGCCTTTAGTGGTCATCATGTCTATAATGTTCAGTACATCATGTCTTTAGCCGTCATCATGTCTGTAATGTTCAGTACATCATGCCTTTAGCGGTCATCATGTCTGTAATGTTCAGTACATCGTGCCTTTAGCGGTCATCATGTCTGCAATGTTCAGTACATCATGTCTTTAGCGGTCATCATGTCTGTAATGTTTAGTACATCATGCCTTTAGCGGTCATCATGTCTGTAATGTTCAGTACATCATGCCTTTAGTGGTCATCATGTCTGTAATGTTCAGTACATCATGTCTTTAGCGGTCATCATGTCTGTAATGTTCAGTACATCATGCCTTTAGCGGTCATCATGTCTGTAATGTTCAGTACATCATGCCTTTAGCGGTCATCATGTCTGTAATGTTCAGTACATCATGCCATTAGCGGTCATCATGTCTGTAATGTTCAGTACATCATGCCTTTAGCGGTCATCATGTCTGTAATGTTCAGTACATCGTGCCTTTAGCGGTCATCATGTCTGTAATGTTCAGTACATCATGCCTTTAGCGGTCATCATGTTTGTAATGTTCAGTACATCATGCCTTTAGCGGTCATCATGTCTGTAATGTTCAGCACATCATGCCTTTAGAGGTCATCATGTCTGTAATGTTCAGTACATCATGCCTTTAGCGGTCATCATGTCTGTAATGTTCAGTACATCATGCCTTTAGAGGTCATCATGTCTGTAATGTTCAGTAAATCATGTCTGTAATGTTCAGTACGTCATGCCTTTAGCGGTCATCATGTCTGTAATGTTCAGTACATCATGCCATTAGCGGTCATCATGTCTGTAATAATCAGTACATCATGCCTTTAGCGGTCATCATGTCTGTAATGTTCAGTACATCATGCCTTTAGCGGTCATCATGTCTGTAATGTTCAGTACATCATATCTTTAGCGGTCATCATGTCTGTAATGTTCAGTACAGCATGCCTTTAGCGGTCATCATGTCTGTAATGTTCAGTTCATCATGCCTCTAACGGTCATCATGTCTGTAATGTTTAGTACATCATGCCTTTAGCGGTCATCATGTCTGTAATGTTCAGTACATCATGCCTTTAGTGGTCATCATGTCTATAATGTTCAGTACATCATGTCTTTAGCCGTCATCATGTCTGTAATGTTCAGTACATCATGCCTTTAGCGGTCATCATGTCTGTAATGTTCAGTACATCGTGCCTTTAGCGGTCATCATGTCTGTAATGTTCAGTACATCATGTCTTTAGCGGTCATCATGTCTGTAATGTTTAGTACATCATGCCTTTAGCGGTCATCATGTCTGTAATGTTCAGTACATCATGCCTTTAGTGGTCATCATGTCTGTAATGTTCAGTACATCATGTCTTTAGCGGTCATCATGTCTGTAATGTTCAGTACATCATGCCTTTAGCGGTCATCATGTCTGTAATGTTCAGTACATCATGCCTTTAGCGGTCATCATGTCTGTAATGTTCAGTACATCATGCCATTAGCGGTCATCATGTCTGTAATGTTCAGTACATCATGCCTTTAGCGGTCATCATGTCTGTAATGTTCAGTACATCGTGCCTTTAGCGGTCATCATGTCTGTAATGTTCAGTACATCATGCCTTTAGCGGTCATCATGTCTGTAATGTTAATTACATCATGCCTCTAGCGGTCATAATGTCTGTAATGTTCAGTACATCATGCCTTTAGCGGTCATCATGTCTGTAATGTTAATTACATCATGCATCTAGCGGTCATCATGTCTGTAATGTTCAGTACATCATGCCTTTAGCGGTCATCATGTCTGTAATGTTCAGTACATCATGCCTTTAGCGGTCATCATGTCTGTAATGTTCAGTACATCATCCCTTTAGCGGTCATCATGTCTGTAATGTTCAGTACATCATGCCTTTAGCGGTCATCATGTCTGTATTGTTAATTGCATCATGCCTCTAGCGGTCATCATGTCTGTAATGTTCAGTACATCATGCCATTAGCGGTCATCATGTCTGTAATGTTCAGTACATCATGCCTTTAGCGGTCATCATGTCTGCAATGTTCAGTACATCATGTCTTTAGCGGTCAACATGTCTGTAATGTTCAGTACATCATGCCTTTAGCGGTCATCATGTCTGTAATGTTCATTACATAATGCCTTTAGCGGTCATCATGTCTGTAATGTTCAGTACATCATGCCTTTAGCGGTCATCATGTCTGTAATGTTCAGTACATCATGCCTTTAGAGGTCATCATGTCTGTTAGCGTCTGTACTCTTACTTCTCAGGGATCAGAATGCCATTCCAAACCGTCTGCAGGCTGAACGAAGTACAACACTTCCATAGCCAAACAAAAAGCTTTTTTAATTCCTTTATAAACCCCAAATCTACCGTCTTATATTGTACCCCTAATATTACTATACCTTAAGTTTTCATGGGACGGAGTGGTCTAGCGGTAGAGAGCTGGACTGCTAACCCGTAAGTTCGAGTTAGAATCCAGGTTCAAGTAGTAGACCGTCCCTGATTCCACCCAACTCTGATGGGTACCTAACTCACGTTAGGGAAAGTAAAGGCGGCTGGGCATAGTGCTGACCACACTATCTCTTCATATGCCGAGGTCACAGAAACAAGTGAACTCTACTTCACTTGCTCCATAAACCGTCAGGTTTGAAAAGCGAACTTTACTTTTTACTTAAGTTTTCACTGCATGCCTTCTCTTACCTGTCATTTTATTCTCATTTAGCTTCCAGTGAAGACAGTGAAGACAGCATCAATGACATTATATTCTTCGTTTTTCTGTGCAACAACATCGCCTGTTTATTCATCTGCCTGCACATATTCACAAATAGGTGTAGAGCAAACAAAGTCATCGCAGTGATCGCTACAGGTGTCTGTATATTTACACGTAAGATTTATCTGTATGATATTTTAAAATATTTTGTTAAAGTCTGAGCAGCTTTTAAAATTATTTTTTATACTAGAGTTTTCGACTACCAGGGGTCGGCAACCTTTAGAGACTGAAGAGCCAAAATTTACAATTTACAAAATTTCCCAGTTTTCAAAGAGCCACAAACATTATGCTCATTGATTAGGATTGGGTTTTATATATATATATATATATATATATATATATATATATATATATATATATATATATATTTATATTTATTTATATATATATATATATATATGTGACGAGCGAACATTTATCCTGCCGACAACGCCAATTGTAACGAGCCAACAGTTACCATGCTCGCAACGCCACATGTAATGAGACCTAATTGCCTGTAGTGCCACGTGTTAACGAGTTTAACCACTCATTCTAGACAACATTGACCACAGTATAGATACTCAAGATGCAGGTTCGCTATTGATCCTTTATTACATGAATCAAGAAATGCTTCATAATAACACAATAAATCAACAGGAATGCTTCTCAATAATAGTCTGAATCAACTGACCCCTAACAGTCCTTCACTAGGCTTCATATAACTGAATCCACATGTCTATAATCCTCCTTAACACAATACGGCTAACCCGTTCTATAACCGACTTGACATAGTCACACAGACTGACTGATCTAAGCGAGCGATGAAAGAGGCAAGAGGGGAAAAGGGGTCGAGCTCCGCCGTCCCCCCCTATTTATCCCTTGAAATCGTAGTCGTACTTGTATCCATTTCCGTAATCGATACTTGTAATCGATGTCTCCGAATACTAGTTGCGCAGTTCTACGTACAGTCCGACTAATAAAACACCTGCATCCTATCCATCAAAGTTGACAGCTCGTCTGAAACTTCTCGTACCGTTTCCCAAAATAGCACGCGTTGGCTTTGAGATTGTTATCAGACCGATCCAATAAGCCACCTGTTATAGTTGCGTCAGATTTCATACTGCGTCGCGGCTTCTCGTTCGTTATCATTTGTAACTGGTAGTTAGGCCTACCCCAGTTACATCCACCCCTGCTTTTTTTGTGTGTTTTCAACCACAAACAACGCCTGGCAGGTGCACTCCTCCAAAGTCAATCGCACAGTCGTAAAAAAAAAAAATTTATTGTTCCACTCACTGTCCACGACGTTCCATTCGTATACGATTGACAGTTCTACCTATTTCACATATCAACTGTGTCTACATCATCTTCCTGAGACACAAAACAGTTCTAGAATTCACATCCACCCTTTCCATTTGGTGCCTTCACCAGTTCACTTCTATAGCTCTTTGAACAGTCTGTTTTCATACCAGCGCGACCATGAAAGAATTGATGGTTGCTGACAAAAAATTTCGTATTCCTTCTGTTCCTTAAACTTCTCCGCGGACCACTTATCCGATGGTCTACTGTCTCTCTGCTTCTGGAGGGACCGGGATCCTCATTGTTGCCGGTATCCTCCACTTGTATATCGCGTTTGTTCTGTTGATGGTGATATGGTTCCGGAATGGGTATGTGAATTTCCGTTATAACTTCCGGTTCCCTAATTGTCTTGGGTTTCTCTGTGTGTAACTGCTCTTCTTGCCTATTCCAATATTTCTTTAATTGAGCAATATTCGCCCACCGATCCGGTTTGGCGTGATCGATGGGTCTTATCTTAAAGGGGCCACCTGCTGCTTTAGGCATCTCCACGACTTGCCATATCTCCTGTCCCCAGAGATCGTGGATTTTGTTTCTGCCTAACGGGTGGCTACGCAGTAATACCCTGTCATTCAGTTTGAGTGGCGGGTCCTTCGTCTGTATCGGCGGTTCCCTTCGCCGAGATTCATGTTCTAGTCTTTCCTGTACTACCCTGTACATTTCTCTAATTCTTCTCATATGTTCATTCACATATTCCAGTGCGGTGTATGAGCCAGTCATACTCTCCCTTTTTCCTAGGAACAAATCAAGAGGGAGTCGAGCCTCTCGTCCGAACAGCAACATGTATGGCGTAAAGCCGGTTGTGGCATGGGGTGTGCAGTTGTATAGATATACCAACTCTGGGAGAAAATCAGGCCAACGTTTTTTCTGTTCAGGTTCTAGCGTACGCAGCAAATCATGCATGCTGCGGTTGAACCGTTCACACTGTCCGTTTCCCTTCGGATTAAATGTGGTTGTTCTAGATTTGTTGATCCCGTAGTGGCCGCACAGTTGGTTAATTACTTCTGACTCGAAAGCCCTTCCTTGGTCAGAGTGTAATTGTCTTGGTATGCCATATTTGATGAACCAATGTTCTATTAATACCTTTGCCACTGTTTTGGCAGTCTGATCTCGTGTGGGCACCGCCACAGTCCATTTGGTGAATACATCAGTCATTACCAACACATGTTCCGTCCCATCCGATGATTGCTCCAACGACGTAAAGTCCATCGCCACAATCTCTAGTGGTTTTGTCGCTAGTAGGTGTCCTGATGGCTGTCTCATTTTGACAACTGGCATTTTCGCATGCTGACACCTCACACAAGCCTCACAATGGCGTTTGACCTCCATTTCCATATTGGGCCAGTAACACCTCCGTCGTAATATTTTGTGCGTCCTGTCCTGACCCTGGTGTCCTGCCCTGTCATGTGCCAACCTTAGCACTTCTTCTCTTAACTGTCCAGGCACCACCACCTGGTGTATTGTCCCATCAATTTGGTCATGAATTCTCCGTATGAGAACACCATCCTCTATACTGAGACGGTCCCACTGACTCAGTATTTTCTTTGTTTCTCGACCAAATTGTTCTCTTTCCCTTCTTCCTGGGAATTTTTGTTCCTGGACGTGTTTCAACAGCGGCTGTAAGCCACTATCCGTTCTCTGGGCATCTCTTATCTTTTTGTGATTAAGGCAAATAAAATCACTACTGTCCATATGTTCGGGTTCCGTGGATATGTGCTCCACCCCGGTCTGCCCGTTCTGCATCACTTGTACCCCATGAGGGATATCTGTTGACGCTCTGACCTCACATATTCCTGTCAGTGTTTCCTCCTCATCACCCGGTCTCTCGTAAGGATTCCTTGATAAGGCGTCCGCATTGCCATTGGACCGCCCCGGGCGATACTTTATCTCTAGGTCAAAGAGTGCCAATTCTGCTGCCCATCGCTGTTCGATGGATCCCAACTTTGCTGTCTTTAGGTGACTCAAGGGGTTATTGTCAGTGTATACCACACATTTAGCACCTAATAGATAGTCCCTGAATTTCTCAGTCACAGCCCATTTTAATGTCAAAAGTTCTAGTTTCATGGCGCTGTAATTTGTCATGTTTCTCTCTGATCCCTTCAGAGCTCGACTGGCATACGCAATAACCCTGAAACCTTGCTTTTGTTGTTGTGATAGCACAGCTCCCAGACCTTTAGAGCTGGCGTCGATTTCTAACCGAAATGGTTTGTCAAAGTCCGCGTATCCCAATATCGGTGCCTCTGTCAAAGCCTTTTTCAAGAGCTTAAACGAGTTCAGGCATTCATCAGTCCATAATTCACCTATCAGTTGTGTTTTACCTTTCTTTTTCTCCTTACTGTGTTTCTTTGTCATTTTGTTTACCAAGTCATGCAATGGTGCGGCAATTTTTGCAAAACCCGGCACAAATTTTCTATAATAGGAAGCAAAGCCCAAGAATGACCTGACCTCTACCGTAGTTGTTGGTTGTTTCCATTCTTTAACAGCTGCAATTTTATCTGGGTCAGTGGCGATGCCATCCGACGAAATCACGTAACCCAAAAAATGTACCGATTTCAAACCAAAGCAGCATTTGTCTGGGTTCAGCTTTACTCCTATCTCCCTAAGACGGAGAAACACTTGTTCTAATCTTTTTAGATGGTCCTCCCAAGTTTTTGAGTAAACTAGAATATCATCCAAATACACCAACATTATTTGAAATAGAAAGTCACTCATAGCACTCTGCATTACTCGCTGGAATGTAGCAGGTGCATTAGTTAGACCAAACGGCATACGGGTCCACTCGTACAGTCCCAGTGGAGAAATAAATGCAGTTTTATGTTGATCGTTGGGGTGCATGGCCACTTGGTGGTAGCCACTGGCCAAATCCAAGGTAGAAAAAAATCTTGCTCCCCCCAACGCATCAAGACATTCATCAATACGAGGCAAGGGGAATGCATCCCTTCTTGTGATATTGTTCAATTTCCGGTAATCACAACACAGTCTTATCTCCCCTGACTTCTTTTTTACCACTACAATCAGTGCCGCATACGGGCTTGTACTAGTTGTAATAATTCCCTTTTCTAGTAGATCATTCAGGTGTGCCTTCACCGCCGAGTAGTGACTCGGTGGTAATCTTCGATAAGGTTGCGCCACCGGCTTGTCTTGTAGTAAGGGTATCTGGTGTTTGATTACTTCCGTGTACCCCAAATCACCCTCATACGAGGCAAATACATCCCTGTATTTATTCAGTAATTCATTTAATTTTGGGTCTTCAGTTTCCGGGAATATATATGATCGGCCACCCTTTTTCTTCACCTCGGCCGTCACATTGACCGACCTAATTGTTACTTCATTACTACTGGTATTGATCAGTTCGATGCACTGTGCCGACCTTTGTACCTCGACGTTCTGTGGTACTCCTACCAGAGTGTTAGGCGGTATAAAAATTTCCTCATCCAAAACATTAGCTACCAACCCTTGAACTAGTCCGTTTTCCGCTGATGTGTATGTCCGCAGTAACACGACGCCTGCCCTCAGTGCGGCGCCACATGGTTCTATCATCACATCACCATTCACGCTTCTATCACCAATTTGTAATGTGATTGCCTTGACCGTGTTTGCCGGGACTGCTGTCCTTCCTCTGGTCTTGGCAAACCTGGCCAACTTGGATCCCCGACCTGGTGTGGTCGATCCGACAATATTTGTAAGAAATTCTGGCAACTGGCCAAGAATATTCATGCCCAACAGGCAAGGTATATTTGACACATTTGTCTCTAGGTTGTGTTTCGTAACGAACACCCCAA